ATGACTGAATAGCATGAACCCTTTTCTGAGGTGTAGCTGAGGGCTATACAGATTGGTCCAGAATAGCCAGGGGCTTTTCATTCCCTGCCCAGAAGAGGAAAGGATGAAGGGGGAGGCAAGTCAGGAGAGCACATTAGTACGGATAGGTGGGGCAGCTAAAGCTACCAGCCCTAAAATCTTGGTGACTTTAGGACACCACACCCTGCAATGCCATGACTAACTAGTAGACCAGACAGCCAGGACAAGACTGTGTGACTCATATCGCAAGTTGTTTACATTTGAACAAATCTTTAGAGAGCAAGTTGTTTTTCTCTTCAAAATCAGTATTTTGAAGGTGGTGGTGGTGCGTGCCTTAATCCCAGCACTTGGGAGGCAGAGACAGGTGGACACAATGGATCTATGTCCCAGCATGACAGCAGTTGTCCTGGACAGCTGTTAGGTCATTCAGGTCTCCACTGAGCCATCTCTCCAGCTCCTAACTTAAACTTTAAACTTTTTTGGTTTTGCAAGACAGAGTTTCTCTGTGTAACAGCCCTGACTCCCTTTGTGGGCCAGGCAGAACTAGGACTAGAACTAACAGAGATCTGCCTGCCTCTGCCTCCCAAATGCTGGGATTAAAGGCGTGCAACACCAGTGCCTGGCACTTAAACTTCTTAATAACCCCTTTAAGAAGGTAGAAGGAAACCAGTGCAACTAATTTTAATAATTATTTTATTTGATGTCATTTCATTAAGTGACCAATAGTTTTAAAGTTCTGGATACTGAAAGTTGCTTTTCTGGACTGAGTTCCAGGAAGCCTGTGCCTGTCTGAGCCAGCCCCATCTCTAGTGCTGCAGAGTTGGCTACCTCAGGTCTGCTAGCAGATACTTAAGAGGCGTCTTCTTTCCTTGTCGTCTTGTCAGTTGGCCCTGTGTCTTCCGCCATGGAGGAACACTGAATTGCTTTCCCTCTGCGTAATGGGAGCTCTGGACATTATCACAAGATTGCAACCAGGTAAAACCTGCTCTTGAGTCTGCTTCTTTCAACCAGGCTTACCTGTGTTGTAGAGTTGGTAATTAGTTGCTTCTATGATTGAATAATGTTCATTGTCTGGACATGCTGTGTGACATCTTATTCAGCAGGCATTGGATGTGAGTTCTGCTTTTGGCGATGGTGAATAATGCTGCTGCAAGTAGTTAGATCTGCCTTTAGTGGATACTTGATTTCTGAAGGGTCTGTGCCTTCGGGTATAGCAACATGTTGCTAGGTTCTGCTCCATTATCACCTTTAAAAAAAAAATAGTTTTTGTCTTGTTTTAATCTACGTCATTGTGTGCCCTAGTTTCGACTTTGTTTGTTTGGGCTAGTACTCTGCCCACATCTGTGCTGGGAAACACCAGCATGTCTTCCCAGGAAGGAGCTCTGCTCCATTTGCCTGTGCGTCCTTACCTTCACTTTTACATGCTTTTGGCTGCTGCTTGGGTATATTAGTAATTTTCCATTGCTGTGATAAACACCATGACTGCAGCACCTTATAGAAGAAAGGGTTTATTTGGGCTTATGGTTCCACAGGGATAGCAGTCCTTCATGGCAGGGGGTGGCAGGCATGGTGGCCAGAGCAGGAAGCTCAGAGCTCACATCCTCAACCATAAGCACAAAGAAGTGGCCACACCTCCTAAACCCCCCAACAACAGCACCACCTACTGGGCACCAAGAGCTCATATGCCCAATACTGTGAAGAACATTTCCTAAGTAGGCTGAGTTGGAGGGCACCTCATCTTTCCGCGTCCTCGGTCAAATGTCCATATTTGGTCTTCTAGCTTTATGGGGAGTGGTGTTGCAGGAGCAGCAGCCTTGCTCGGGATTTTAAGGGTATAGTAGCCAGGCTTGCTAGCTCATCCCTGTGATCCAGGTACTCTAGAAGCTGAACAGGAAGACCTCATGGTCAGCCTGAGTCACAGCCTAAGAGAGACCTGTCCCACAGGGGCTGAGGAGGTGGCTCAGTGATTAGAAGTGCTTACTGCTCTTCCAGAGGACCTGCATTCAGATCCAGCACCCACTTGGGGGAGTTGGTTCTCTCCTTCCACTTGGGACTTCTAGGGATCCAACCCAGATTGTCCTACTTGGCAGCGAGCACTCTCGCCTTTTAAAATCATTTCAGTTCGTGATGATGCTGACTTAGTGTATGCATCCCAGCAAGATCCTTAGACAGATTGGAGGGCAGAATCAGCAGGACCAGGATCAGTCTACCCTGCCTTGGTTTCTTCTCTGTCTTTCTCTGTCCTCCCTCCTGCTCTGTGTCTCTCACCTGACATTGAGGTCCAGTTTCCTTGGAAGCAGTGTGAAGCCAGACTTTCAGGGAGGCTGAGCTTGTTTCTGCTGGAGGAACTTGTCACCCAGTAATGACTGAGACAGAAGAACTCCAGGAGAGAGGAGCTGAGTGACTCCTAACAGGGGTGTAGGTGGACTTTTCTTTACTACCCACCAGTTCCTAAATAATCATCATGGAGACTCAATATTAATTATAAATGCTCAGCTGATAGCTCAGGATCATTACAAAGTAGCGCTTACAACTTAAATTAATCCATTTATATTAATCTACATTCTGCCACATGGTATTACCTCTCTTTCATCTTGCACCTCCTGTTTCTTCTCTCTGTGTCTTGCTGGCATCTCCATCCTTCTTCTAGTGTCCTTAGTCTGATTTTCCTACCTAACCTTGTCCTGTCCAGCTATTGGCCAGCCAGCTTCTTCAGTAAACCAATCACAGCGAAATTTACAGTATACAGAAGGATTATTCCACAGCAGAGAGTTCTAAAATAAAGGCAATGCCAGACAAAGGTGGGGGGTAGCATAGGACACTGGGGACAGGAATGGGCATGGTGGATTCTGGGAAGGAACATTAATGGAGTATGTGAGTAGAGTCAGGTATGGATCATGGACATTAGTGCAGGGCTTGATTCTAGCTTCTCCTGAGAAGCTACTTGACCCCCTCCCTGAGGAAGCCAAGGTGTTTCCATGGGTTACCCACATAGCCTGGCCCTGTCCTGAGAATGCCCCATCAGGAGACTGAACTGTGTGTTGTTGCCAGCCTCCCACCCTAGGGGGCAGACATAGATCATCCCTATGCTGCCTGCAGGATCCTAATGGGAAACAACGGGGAAGAGGATGGAGAAAAGACTGCTGACTGTCTTCTGACTGGCACAAGGGCCCATGGGACATATGTACTCGTAGGACGTACATGCTCACCGTGCATGAGACACAGGAATGCTTATAGGCAAGAAAATGACAGGACTCGCTTTCTAGTGTGCTTTCTAGTAGGTGTGAGAGAAGAACTATAAGGGGGAACTGGTGTTCCCACAGAGACACTCTGAGGCATAGGGGTGGGCTTCAAGCCAGCTACATACCTAGCTCTGCTTCTCCATACACAGTCCCCTATGGTTGAATGCTGTCAGGCTCATCTGACTTCTACAAAGGCCCCCTCAGAGCAAGGCACCTGTGTTGTCCCCCCAAAGGGCTTAGGTGTTATGCTGTAGATCATGACATTGAGTTGGGTGGCAGACTTTTCTGTCTGGCTCAGCATGACTGAGTTGTCTGCCCTGTGTTGGAACAGCTTGAGACCATGAGCCTCACTGGAGTGTGTTTCAGCTAATAACCCTGCCCTTGTGGTGGAGGCTTCAGCTGAGGTGTGAGGCTAACTCAGCACCCTAAGCACAGTGGAGCAGATGGGAGCTTGGTCTGCTTGAGCTCCTGTGAAGAAGTTCAGAATTTGACCTGCTGCACTCACATAGACACACAGATATGTATGTGAATAAAAATCATTAAAATTTTGTCTGACACTTATATATCTTATTTTATGTGAAAAGGTTTACCTGCATGTATGTGTGTAGACCAGGAGTGTTCTTGGTGCAAGAGGTCAGAAGGGCATCAGATCTCTCAGAACTGGAATCATGGGTGGCCATGTGATGCTAGGACTTGAGCTCTGGTCCTTCCCCAGAGCAGTGAGTGCTCTTAATAGCTAGGCCATTTCTCCAGCGCTGTGAAGATGTTTTTAAGGACTGTCCAGGTGGCTCAGTTGGTAACGGCACTTGCTGCCAAGTCCAATGAGCTGAACCTGGAGCCCAGATGGTGGGGGACAACTGCCTCCTATAAGTTGTATCTTCTACCTTTAAAGGTCTTCCCCTTCCTGGATGTTCTTCCCAACCCTTCCAATCCAGGGCGACATGACTGGCTGTCCTGGCCAGCCCTGCACGGCTGTCTTGGAGCACACTGTGAATGGTTGGTTTCTGGAAGTGGGAATATGTCACTTGGTAGATGAAGACTCCCACATGCCAGACGGAGCTTGTCCATCTCAAGTGCTCCTTGTCCTTCCAACTCCAGATTCAGTACTCAAATTGAAGTCATACAAAGGTGCCAGGGGTGTCCTGGCCACACGTGGGAACCAGCCTGGTGCTCCTTATCCTACAGCCTCCTACGGAGTTGGGGTGAGAGCAGTGTTGATCTTAGGGTCACGTGACTTAACCACAGAAAGCACTTGCTGAGCAGCCATCAGCCCCTGTCCTCACTGCCCTACTGTACCTCATCCCTGTTTCCAGCTCCTCAGAGGTCCAGCCAGTATGCCACCGTCACACTCAGGAGACAGATGAGCCCTGTGGATGTGAAGAAGGCGTAGCTGAATAAAAGGGAGAGTAAAATTTCTTGGAAGCTCTCGGCCTCCTGTTGCAGCCTCGCCTCCCTCTCCGGCCCTGTTGCTTTTTATTCTGATTCTGTAGCCCATCTACCACGATCCAATCCCAGGACTCCAGGGGCCGGAAAGGGGGCTCTGGCTTTTCTTTGTTCATTGCCCTCACTACCCAGACTCTGGCACTGCAGAGGTTCCAAAGAGGATCTCACCACAAGGCATTTGAGGGTTGTGTGGCTGTTCTGGCAAAAGTGCATTCCAGCAGCGTGTGGGTCTCCGTCCAAAGCCTGGCAAACCACTTGCGGAAGCTAGTCATTTACTGTTCATCCTTTCATTTTCAGAGCCTCCCAAGATGAACCCAGTCGTGGAACCGCTGTCCTGGATGCTGGGTACCTGGCTGTCAGACCCACCAGGAGTTGGTACCTTTCCGACTCTGCAGCCCTTCCAGTACCTGGAGGAGGTGCACATCTCCCATGTGGGCCAGCCTATGCTCAACTTCTCGTAAGTCCCCACCTAGTTTATGGCCTGCCTGTCAGGTAACTCCAGACAGATCAAAGACATGCCAGGCAGGAAGATGCAAAGCAGCTGTAGATTTGCTTCAGAAAAGCTCTCCCTTTCCCAGAACCAGGCAGCTGAGGCATAGGGTTGTAAAAATGATACTTGCTTGCTTCTCAGTATTCTTTAAGATGTTAGGCAGATGACAAGTTTACAAGTTTGTTAATCCAAGCAGAAAATGTATTGGTATGTGTTTAATTAACTCTCTAGTGTTGGCCTAACCTGTATGGAAACCAGTCATCTAGTGTTGTTGAATAAGAGGATGTGGCTTTCTTTTACTCTTGCCCTGTGCTAGGTGAGGTGGTCAAGACGGTTTATGGTTCTCAATAGGAAATAGTATTGCTTTTAAGGGTAGCTGAAAATGTAATTACAAAAGTAATAGATGTGTTTAGCAAGTTTAAATAGGGTAGGGACCTATCTCAGTGGTGGAGTGGTTTTGACGTATGTACAAGCCCTGGAGTTATTCCCCAGCACCTCACATAAAAAAGTAAGTGCATAAAATGAAAAAGCAAAATTCTGATTCTGCTTCAGTCTCCACTATACAGTTCTGTGTTAAGACTCTAATTGGGGACTGGCAAGATGGGTCAGAGGATGATGGCACTTGAGCCCCGCCTGACAACCTGAGTTCAATCCACTTCAGCGGATCAGTTCCTAGCACCCACATGACAGCTAACAGCCATCTATTTCAGGGGATCTGATACTCCTTTCTGGCCTCATGGGCACCGCATGTATGGTACACAGGCATCTATGTAGGCAGACACCCATACACATAAAATACAAAATAAACTTTGGGCTGTAGATGGCTCACCAGTTAAGAGTCCTTTTCCAAAAGGATTCAAGTTCAGTTCTTAGAACTCACATCAAGCAGAGCCGGGCATTGGTGGCACATGCCTTTAATCCCAGCACTCAGGAGGCAGAGGCAGGCGGATCTCTGTGAGTTCCAGGCCAGCCTGGTCTCCAGAACGAGTGCAAGGATAGGCTCCAAATCTACACAGAGAAACCCCAAGTCTCGAAAAACCAAAAAAAAAAAAAAAAAAAGAAGAAGAAGAAAAAGAAAAACAAAGAACTCATATCAAGTAGCTTAAAACTGAACTACCTGTAACCCAGCCTCAGGGAATCTCCAACCTCTGCTATCCACAGGTACCTGCACACACACCACACACACACACACACACACACACACACACACACACACACACACACACACACACACACGAGGAAAAAATTAAATAATCTTTAAAAAATAAATAAATCTCAAAATAGTCTAGAACAGCCAACTCTGCTAATGCCTGTAATTACAGGACTTGGGAGACAGAGGCAGGAGGATCACAAATTTAAGAGCTGCACAGCAAGATTGTCTCAAAAGCTAAAACATAGAGATGGGCACAGGGCTGGAGGGCAGCTCAGCTGTCAGAGCTCCTGCTTTTCTAGAGGACCTAGTTCCTGGGTCTGATTCCCAGCACCCACAAGGTGGCTATCAACCATCCTTAACTACAATTCCAGGGGCTCCAGTGCCCTCTCTGGCCTTTCAAGGCACCAAGCATGTATGTTGTATGCAGACATACATGCAGGTAAGACACCCATAAACATAAAATAAAAATAATAAAATTGTAAAAGAGAGTCGAGGATATAGCTCAGTGGTAGAAGACTTGCCCAGCATGTGTGAGGCCCTGGGTTCAGTTCCAGCACTGGAAAAAAAAAACAGGCAAATAAATGACCCAGATAGTGTAAGTCAGGCTCACTCCTTACTTTTCCACTGCCTCCCTCCCTCCTTCAGTCCCCTTTTCCTTCTTTCTCTCTCCTCTCCCTCTGTCCCCTAATAGGCCTTGTGCGTGAGCAGGCTCTTTACACTGTGCCACATTTGCAGCCCAGCCCAGAGGCAGTCTTTACCTTTCATGCCAGGGTATGGCAGTGTAGACATGCCGGCCTCTTGGTTTTGCCTCCTAAATGCTGGGATTATTCAAGGTCAGCCTAGTCTACATAGTAAGTTCCAGGCTAGCCAGAGATATACAATGAGACCCTGTCTCAAAAAAAAAAGAAAAGAAAAGAAAATTCCAGAGAGAAAAGTTTGGTAAGGTAGGGTTCTACTGTAATTATCTACAGTTGTGCCTAGAACTAAAAACTGAAATATACAAACTGAAAAGGCCTGACATTCCATATTATTAAGAACAAGTTTCTAGGTCTGATACAGACATACTTTTCTGTCCCATCAGTCAGTCTGTCCAGCCAGCCGGGTCCCCAAATAACCACACAGAGATTTAAATTAAATGCTCAGCTGATAGCTTAGGCTTGTTACTAACTAGTTCTTACAGCCTAACCCATGTTTCATGTGCCTCATGCTTGTTACCTCATTTTCTAACACATCCTGCTGCTTCTGCCTCTGGCTCACTCCGACCTCTTCTTCCCAGCCTCCTCTTAAATTTGGCTCTTCCATCGAACCTCTTCCAGCCCCCCCCCCCCACACACACACCCACCCACCCACCCTGGAAGAAAGAACAGGAAATGGAAGGGTGATGACAGGCTGGTAGATAGAGTTGAGGATCAGAGTCTGGAGGAATACTTCTGACCAGGTTAGACCATGTCCCTCAGACCCATAGCTAGTGTTTTTCCACAATATTTTTTTCATTGCTGCATAACTTTTTCTTGGGGAAACATAAACTGTTTACCCCAGATAGGGCATCAACAACAAAGGATTCTACCAACGTCTAACTTGGTGAATCAATGAGTTTGTTGGGCGTATTTACAGTGCATGGGTGAGAGGTTACTCATAGGAGCATAGGTGACCCCCAAACAGCTACATTACCACAGAGTACACCCCATCATGAGAAGCTGCATCCTAGAGTTCCCTTTAGTCTGCTTCCACTGCTATATATTCTAGCATCTCCCCGGTCTCTTGCAGCTGCTGGGTGGACAGCAGGGAGTAATGTATGGAATCCCAGGTAAAGGCCCTGTGCTAAAGAGCATTGACAACTCTCCTGCCACAGACCTAGCCATCACCATATTGTTCTGTGTATTTTGTTGCTGTGGCTTCTGGTACAAGGAAATCTCCGCTCCAAGATGACAATAGGATGACCATGTAATGCCTGAGAGAAAAGCAGCACGCACATCAGATCCCTATCCTCTGGCTCTTAACATTTCTCACTCCCTCTTTTGCAACATTCCTTTAGTCTTGGAACGGTGATGTGTGTATGAGGAGGCTTTTTTTCCTCCTTTTTAAGCATTTGGCCACTATGTCACTTAGGCAGTATTCTCTGCAGTTTAACCAACTATGAATCTTTGCACCTTACCACCACCCACTGTAAGAATTCTCTCCACAACCAAGGCCAGTAGTCTTTTAAGTCACCCAGATTCAGTAAAATTTCTTCTACCTTATAGCCCCCAGGATCCCTGCTGAATCACTTTTTGGTTTTTCGAGACAGGGTTTCTCTGTGGCTTTGGAGCCTATCCTGGAACTCACTCTTGTAGACCAGGCTGGTCTCAAACTAACAGAGATCCGCCTGCCTCTGCCTCCTGAGTGTTGGGATTAAAGGCATGCGCCACCAACACCCGACATGAATCACCTTCTTTTTAAATAGAGAAAATAGTCCCTTCCTGCTCAGTGAACTTGGCACCATACACCTCCCCTCTCTGCCTTTCCCCAGTAGCTCCTGACCCTCCTCTTTCAGACCCTGATTCCTGGGACCTCAGCTGTGGATAACCAAGTGTCCCTGATGGCATTTATGAGCTGGCCCACTAGGAACTGAGCCTTCCTGCTGTCTCAGGTTACCCAGTCTTTGTTCCCAGAAGGAATTATTCACTTATTCTCCTTCCACAGCACTCAGACTCTGCCCCGTGTCCCACAGGCTGAGCCAAGGCTGGCTGTGAGTTCTTTTAAAAACTCCCTTATTTATTACTGTACATACAGTGTTCTGCCTGCATGCATGCCTGTGTGCCAGAAGAGGGCACCAGATCCCATTACAGATGGTTGTGAGCCACTGTGTGGTTGCTGGGAATTGAACTCACGACCTCTGGAAAGAGCAACCAGTGTTCTTAATCTCTAAGCCATCTCTCCAACCCCCTTTCACATCCTTCTTACAAGTCCCTCCCAAATCAAGCTGTTCCGAGGCAGGGTATTCCCCTGACTCTTGGTGTTCTGTACACCTGGCCTGACTGCTGAATCAGACTCTCCCTTCCACATATCAGAAGTTGGACCTGAGCGGTAACTGCTGCCATTTTTACCTTATCTTTTCCTTATTCACCATCTGACTCTTCCATGGGATTCAAGGTTTTAATTGCAGGAGGGACTCTGTAACACGGGTCTGATTTGTGATTTTTCTTTCATTCCCCTCCCAGCTGCAAGAAATGGTGAGCCAGCAAGTCTTTTAACTCATCCTTTTTTATCTAGTTTACCTGCTAAATCAGAAACTACCATGGAGAGTAACTACATGGCCCTTCCCGTTTAATTCTGACTTTATATAAGCATGGTCTTGCTGGACAGCCATCTTGGTTTTGGTTGCATGTTTTATCACGTATACCGTAAGTCACACAACTGCTGTCACAGCTTGCTGGAGTCTTGTCCCATGTGTGCTACTCTCTCTAGTCTATTCTCTAGTCCTTAGCTGTGTTCAGGTTAGACCCCACTAATCCAGGCAGCATGCCTCTCGGTGAACATGGAGCAGGGAAGTCATCCTGAGGAATGCCTCCAGCACCACCATGGGCACTCCACCCGCAAATGTCTCATTGTTAGTTATGTGTCTTCCTCCCCAGAGCAAGGTCCATTTGACTGCCGCTGTAACAGACAGACGCATATCCTGTACCACATGGGGAAGAAGCCCCCGATAGCCTGTCCTAGAATAGTTTGGTCTTAGTAGTATTTGCTACACAAACAAAGTTATGCCATTGCTATTCCCAGATTCATCACAACACCAGTTTGTTGCATGAACTTTTCCCAAGAAGACATGAACAAATGTTTCTTCACCAACTAGAGACCAAAGTTGGTTGTCAAAACCAATGAGGCTATTGAGGTTCCTTACAGAATTATAGGTGACCCTTTAGTACATGTGTCTCTGCAGAGTCTTGTCGTCATAGATGATGACCTCATGGGGCCCTCTTTTAGTTACTCAATGTGCTCCATTAATCCCCAAAGTCACTTACAACTCAGAGGAGAGATGAAGAATATGATGGCCAGAATCCCCCGGGAAGGTCCTATAACTCCCCTTCTGCTGGGAGTATTAAAAACTATTATTAGCTGGGGGTGGTGACACATGCCTTTAATCCCAGTACTTGGGAGACAGAGGCAGGCTGTGAGTTACAGGCCAGCCAGGGCTATACAGTGAGATGCTGTCTAAAGAAACAAAAAGCCCCTTCACTGTTTTCATAGGCCTGGCTACCACTGTGTTTTGCTTATTCCATTACCATGACTATGAGGCTGAGGTGATCTCCAAAGTGGCATGGAATGGTCATGTCATGGCCAAAGGAGAAACCTTGCTACAGCACATTTTGAGGTCCTGTGTCTGCTTCATGTCTCTGTCTTCCCTTCCAGGTTCAATTCCTTCCATCCAGACACACACAAGCCAATGCACAGAGAGTGTGGCTTCATCCGCCTCAAGCCTGACACTAACAAGGTGGCCTTTATCAGTGCCCAGAACACAGGTATGGTGCCCCTACCCAGGGCCTGCTGGCAAGAGTATTGCAGCACTAGTAGTCTCAGGTGACTTTGAAATGTGTTCCTGCTCATGGTCATGTATTATAGGGACAGTGAAGATAGAGTTCTCCATAGACTTGAGCCTTCCTCCTAGCACAGTACATGCCCAAAGGATAGATCCTGGCAAGAACAGGCCAACCTGACACATGGTATTTGTCTAGAAGTCTGGCAAGCTGGTGTTTCAAAAAATCACTCAACAGCCCGTGTGACTTTGGCCATGTCCAGTCTCACTCCTATTCGGGATCAGCTAATGTGGAATAATGCTGGCTCTTATCAGGCACTGTCAGACATAGAAGTATGTAAAAGCCAGAGAGCTGTCATCTGTGCTTCCTCCTTCAGCATTGGGTGGTACTGTTGCTGAGGGTGGGACTTCTCCTAGCCCACTGAGAAGTTCAGGTAAGGTAAGAGAGCTAGTGTTCAGCCACCTCTGCAGAGGGTGACCCTCCAGTGGGCATTTAGCCTTATACTCCCCATTATGTAGAGGGGTGAGGCAGGGGGATCTTACCTCCATGAATTCCGGACCAGCCTAAGCAACATAATGAGACCCCCTCTCAAAAACAGGTATGGGGACTAGGGAGATAGCTTAGTAGGCAAAGTGCTTACTGTGTACGAATGAGAACTGAGTCTGGGATCCCCAATACCCCCCATAACAATGCTCCACTCCTGTAACCCCAGCCTCAGGAGTGCAGATCTCTAGGACTTTCTGGCTACCAGCCAGCCTAGCAAGAGGGTGAGCTCCAAGTTCAGTGAGAGACTGAATGTGTCTCCAAAAAGAGTAAGAAAGAAAGCCACAGAAGAGAACACTCAAAGTTGACCTCTGACCCCCACATGAGTATAAACACATACAGAGGGGGGCGGGCGTGAATTCCGGGTCATTTTCCTTGGTATCTGCAAGAGTAACTTTAGAGAAACACTGTACCTGGATAGTAGCAAAGTTGAGGTTTCTAAAGGTGGGCGTGGCTTGGAACTACACTAACTGCCCCTCCCTTGCAGGGATTGTGGAAGTGGAGGAGGGTGAAGTGAACGGGCAGGAGCTCTCTATCTCATCCCATTCCATCTCCAGGATCTCCTTTGCTAAGGAGCCCCATGTGGAGCAGGTGAGCCCAACCCCTCTCAGATGCTCCCAGAGCATTTGACTCGGCAGTGGTGCCACAGCATCTGACAGACTTATTTTCATCCCACACCCCCTCCCCGCCCTCCCCCCATGATGTGAATGACCCCTGCTGTCATACCTGGCCCTGCACCTTTCGGATTTGTTGTTTTCCATCACAAATATTCCTTTATGTTTGTGCTTTATACTTTTGTGAATATATCCGAATCTATTGGGCAGATCTCGCCTACGTTACTGAGCCAGGGGGTAGGTGCATTCTGAATGGGAGGTCCTGGTAAATTGTTCTGCAGTGAAACTAGCAGCAGTGCCTGACAGTCACTGGCTCCTGCTGAGCTCTTGCCACTCAGTTAACTTGTGAATGTATACTCCTTGTATATTCCATTTATGCTGGGTGTCCTTGTAGGTTGTGATTTTATTGTTGACTTATAGGAGGTTTTTTACTTGTTGTCTGTTTCCTGTGTGGCTAGTGTGGCCTAGTCCATGCCATCATTTATAATGCCATCTGCCCCAGGGTGTCCTTTATTACATCTGAACTCAGATTCCTGCTTTCTACTCCAAAATAATAATAGAAATACTACTTCATTTTCTTGAGCCTTTGTGACTTTGCTTTTTTCCATCAGTCCATGTTTGCCTTTCTGTGTGATTCAGTGTGTTCTGACTTTTGCCTGCTGAGTGACTTGTAGCCCGCGTGTGGCTTATAAAGTGCCGTGTGTCTCTTAGACCATGCTCATATGAACCTATGGTCTGTTTCTTCCCACGGGCTTATTTACTTGTTTGGTTTTGTGTGTGTGTGTGTTTTTATTCCCAATAAGGTTTCTCTGTGCAGCTCTGGCTGTCCTAGAACTCTCTCTGTAGACCAGGGTGGCCTCGAACTCACAGAGATCCACCTGCCTCTGCTTCCCAAGTGCTGGGATTAAAGGCGTGCACCACCAACGCCCAGCTAATTTCATTCTTGATTGCTGTCTTGACCCTATTTTCATTTGGTAGTGAGTTCAGCTTCATGAAGTTTGTGTACTTTCTGAACTTCTGTTATTGATACCCAGTTTTCATCCATGGTGATCAGATAGGATGCAGAATGCTGATTCAGTTATCCTGTATTTCTTAAAACTTCCCTGGACTGCTGAGAAGGAAATATATTCTTCAATGTTTGGGTGGAATAGCCTATAAATGTCTGTAAGGTCCATTTGATTTATGATGTTATTTATAAGCCCCAGTATTTCTGTTTAGTTTTTATCTGGATGACCTCTCTATTGGTGAGTGTAGGATTTTGAGATCAGTATCACTGTGTTAGGGGCAATATGTAATTTTAGTCATAGTAGTGTTTCTTTTATGAAGTTGGGTATCCTTGTGTTTGGTGCATAAATGAATAGAATTGTAACATCACCCTCTTGGTGGGTTTTCCTTTAATGAATATGTAGTGACCTTTCCTATCTCTGCTGATTAGTTTTGATTTGAAGTCTATTTTGTCAGATACTAAATAGATGCCTGCATGTGTCTTAGTTCTATTTGCTTGGAGTTCCTTTTTTCACCCCTTTACTTGAGATGATGTCTATCCTTGATGGTGAGGTATGATTATTGAAGGCAGCAAAAAGATAGGTCTTGTTCTCTAATGCAGTCTGTTAGTCTGTGTCTTTATTGCGGGATTGAGACCATTAATAGAGAGTTACTGGTGCTGGAGATGTGGCTGAGTGGTTAAAAGTGCTTGCCACTCTTGCTAGGACATGGGTTAGTCCCCAGAACCCCCATGGTGGCTCACAGCGATCTATAACCCCAGTTCCAGAGGATCTTGTCTGTGCCCCCTTCTGTCATTCAAGGACACCAGGCATGCGCATGGTACACAGACATACATTCAGGCAAAACTGATACATAGAAAGTAAAATACATAAATCTAAACAATTGAGTTTTTGAGCAATGTTTATTAATTCCTGGAATGTTTTTGTTGTTGTTTGGTTTTTTGTTTGTTTCAAGACTTCTTTTGTTTACCTGTTCTGGGATTGTTTATTACTTGTATCCTATTGGGTGTAGTTAACCTTATTTTTAGATTTAAGCTTTCCTCCTATTATCTTCTATAGAGCTGGATTGGTGGACAGAAATTTCTTAAATTTGTTTTTATCATGGGCTGTTTTCCTTCAAATATGATTGATAGTTTTGCTGGGTGTAGTAGAATGGGCTTCTATCTGTGGTCTCTCAGAATTTATAGAACACCCATCCAGGCCCTTCTGACATTCAGGGTCTCCATTGATAAGTTAATGGGTGTGCATTTATATGTGATTTGGTCTTTTTCCCTTCTAGGTTTTGTTTTTTTTTTCATATACAGTGTTCTGCCTGCATATATATCTGCACACCAGAAGAGGGCACCAGATCTCATAATGGATGGTTGTGAGCCACCATGTGGTTGCTGGGAATTGAACTCAGGACCTCTGGAAGAGTAGCCAGTGCTCTCAACCTCTGAGCCATCGCTCCAGCCCAGTTTTGTTGTTGTTTTGTTTTTTTGAGACAAGGTTTCTCTGTGTAGCCCTGGCTGTCCTGGAACTTACTCTGTAGACCAGGCTGGCCTCAAACTCAGATATCACTTGCCTTTGCCTCTGAAGTGTTGGCATTAAAGGCGTGCACCTCCGCTGCTCAACTTCCCTTGCAGTTTTTAATATCCTTTTTTGTTGTTGTTGTTGTTCTATACATTTAGTGTTTGATTGTGTGTAGTGAGGAGTTTCTTTTTTGGTCCTGATTATTTGGTGTTCTGTATGCCTCTTGGTAGGCACCTCTATCTGTAGTTTTGGAAAATTTTCCTATATAATTTTGCTAAAAATATTTTCCTATGAATTTGATCTCGGTTTCTTCTTCTTTCTCTATACCTATTATTTATAGGTTTGGTCTTTTCATAGTGTCCCAGATTTTCTGACTGCTTCGTGCCTGGGTCTTTAGATCTAACATTTTCTTTGACTAAGCTATCCATTCCTTTTCCTTGTCTTCCAGATGTGAAACTCTGCCTTCTATTTGGTTTGATCTGTTGGTGAGGCTTTTATCTGAGCTTTTTCTTTGACTTCTAGAGTTTTAAATTCAGTTTGTCTTTTCTTTAGTAATTCTATTTCTTTGTTAAATTCTATTTTCATGTCATGAATTGTTTTCATTAATTCATTCCACTAGTTGCTTGTGTTACTCCAGTTTTCATTGAGGCATTTATTCATATCCTTTATTTGTATTTTATGTGCATTGGTGTTTTGCCTGCATGCACATATGTGTGAGGGGATCAGATCCTCTAGAACTGGAGTTACAGATGGGTGTGAGCTGCCATGTGGATGCTGGGTCCTCTGGAAGAGCAGTCGGTGCTCTTAACCACTAATCCATCTCTCCAGCCCAATTTCCTCATTTCGTCTGGCCTTTCTATCCGTTACTAAGAGCTGGGTACTAAGTCTGTGTGTCTGTCCTTTCTCTCCACCTCAGTGTCCTTTGAAAAGGACTTTGCAGGGTAAAGGACTTAGCTGTTTAAAATGGAACTGTAGGTTAAACACTTCAGGATTAAGGAAGCTGGCTGGTGGAAAGTGAAGCCCACTAGCTTAGCCTGCCCGTTGTGTTCTGGGGCTCTCCATTCCCATCTGTACAACAGTGTCCATCATGGAGCCCAGGCTGGCCATGCAACGGCCTGCCTCAGCCTGAGCGGCAAACATGCACACTGTGCTCAGCTTGTTAGCTTCAGGGTAACTCGGTCAGATATGTTGAAGCCCTTACTGCTCAGCCAGCAAGAACCAAGTACCAGACCCTAAGGCAAAAGGCTTTCCCTTTCTTTTTTTTTTTTTTTTTGTTTTTCGAGCCCGGGTTTCTCTGTGGCTTTGGAGGCTGTCCTGGAACTAGCTCTTATAGACCAGGCTGGTCTCGAACTCACAGAGATCCGCCTGCCTCTGCCTCTGCCTCCCGAGTGCTGGGATTAAAGGCGTGCACCACCAACGCCCGGCAAGGCTTTCCCTTTCTGAGTCATCAAATGGAATTCCCATCTCTCTGTCTTGCCTCAGTTGCCGTTGTATCTCTTTTGACCCAGGCTTTAGTCAATATATTTCCTTCTGTCCATTTTCCAATCCTACTTGCATGCTGAATTTCTCCAGGCTGGGCATCCTGCTGGGAGGCGGTCTCTTCCTAAAATTCTGTTTACATACTTTTGTTTGCCCTTTTCTCCTGTTTTCCCCCCTCCCTTAATTCTAACATAAGAAGCTAAAGAGATAAATTGAGGCTTTGCTTATGGTCCCCTTGCCACAGCAGTTTTTGAGAACTGGACTCACTGGTCTGTTTATGCTTGATCTTGCCCCCAGCTCTTGTGGGGAGCAGGTAGGAAGTCCAGTGGAAGTCAGGTTATTTTCTCAACTAGACAGGCTCCAAATCCATGAAAGACTTTTTGAGTCCTCCAGGGCCAACAGGTATTTTAAGTGGGATACCATCTCTGCCTCTTCGCTCCTTGTTTCCTTGGAGCATCCTGGTACCCTTAAATAACTGGTTTTTCATGACAGGGTCTCAAGCATCCAGGCTGGCCTTGAACTCATGACACTCCTACCTCTACCTCCCAGGTATTGGGATTACAGGTGTATACCACCACATCTAGGTTATTTAGTGATGGGGATCTCATTTGTGAAAGCAAGCACTCTGCCGGTTGAACTACATCATCAATCCCTAAATAGACTTTTGATTTGTTTTTCTGTTTTTAATTTGTGTGTGTGTTAGAGCAGTAAGTTTTCTTAACCACTGAGCCATCTCTTTGGCCCTTCTAACTAAACTTGGAATGACTGACATTTTTATCTTTCAGCAAAGGGGTTGGGAGTCCAAGTGATGGGTGTGGCCTCTGCCACCCTTGGTCCTGAAGCCCTGAAGTGAGAGGCCCCTAGAGGGTTGTTTAGACATTCATTTATCCTGTGGTCACACTGTCCACAAGCATTCCACGCCTGAGGACTGTCATTCAGGCCATGACTCAGGGTCTACTCATATTCCTGTGGGAAGAGCCGTTTGATATCAGACCAGTGGTCCCCAAGTGCTGGCCCAAGGCTTCCCAGAACACATTTGCTATGGTTTAAGGCTCAGATGGAAGTAGGAGATTATAGACAGCGTAATACCATCAAATATTAACAGAGACCAAATAACAGGTCACTTCTGGAAAGCTGAGCTCATACCAACCCTGTATCTACCTGTTGCTTGGGGAAGTGGCTGGTGTGACCCATTATGGTTCACGCCCAGAGACTTCATCCTGGTGGAGGTATTACCTGCTCACAGGCCGGTGACCAATGACAGACACAGATGGATGCTCCAGTGTTTGTTCGGTATTTTGTTTTGTTTTGTTTTGTTTTTTTCTAAACAAAACCTAGGCTAGCTTGGAACTCGTGTAGCCAGGCTGACCTAGAATTCGAAATAGTTCTCTTGTCCTAGCCTGCTGAGTGCTAGGATTATTGGCATGCGCCACCACGCCCAGCTTTTGCTGACTGCTTTGAAGGTATAAAACTTAAGTGCTTTGTTTTGTTCTCCTCTCAGATTACTCGAAAATTCAGACTGAATTCTGAAGGCAAACTTGAACAGACAGTTTCTATGGCAACCACTACACAGCCAATGACTCAGCATCTTCACATTACCTACAAGAAGGTGACCCCCTAACTTGGAGCAGCAACCAGAGCCTGGGGAGGAGCCTGGCTCCTGCATCTAGCCCCCAGTTTAGTAGACATCTCCGCAGACATGGTGTGGCCACAGGCTCTGCTGACACAGAACTGTTGTCCAGATGATCTTGTAATGGCATAGAAAACCAAATAAAAGGCCTTTATTTTTATGGCTGAGGATTTTGAATATTATCACTGTGTAGACTGTACATTTTTTATCTGCTGCTGATAGATTTTTTTCCAATCTTGTCTTTAAGATATTAAGAAAGGATCACATGCTCCCTCCTTCCTTCCCTCCCCTCCCCTCCTACCTTTTACAGCTTTTGGTTTTCTTTCTTTGCAGACACTAGTGCTTATGAAGCCCTCTAGCCCCTAACCCTCTTCCAGAGAGATTCCTTTTTCTTTTTTTACCCCCACAGGTATTGGAGGTGGAATCCAGGACTCTCCACAGTTAGCCCTGTCCGCCTTGCCTGTTTGTTGTCAATCTCCCAACAGCCTTCCCCCTGGAAGTTCTGCTTTCTGCCATTGACCCTAAACTTGACAGCCTGGCTGTCTTGGTCTGTTTCTTCTGGTTGCCATGGCTGGGATTTTCTCAGAAGCCCCCTCCAGAGCTGGCTGAGTTGACCCCTGAGTCCCCTTAGCCCCCTGGCCTTGAAGCTGGCACTTAGTGCTCTCTCTGTGGGCTTGTGCTTTGGGGTAAGGGTGCCTACAGTGTTTGTGGACACCCAGCAGACAACACTCCTCACTCCAGCCACCAATCCACCCTTCCCTGCCGGCAACCCCATGCTTATTAGTGAGTTCCATGCAGTTTCAGTCGGGTGCTGCTTTTGCTTCTGCAGACATCCGAATCAGATTATCCCCTAGAGGCTACAAGAGGCTTTGATCGGTGAACCCACGGCTTTCTGGTGGGTAGAAATAGAGACCAAAGCCTAGAAATACACAGGCTCTTCATGTGGGCTTCTACTTCCAGGTCTTTTCCGTGAACAAAGCAGGAGGTTTTTGTTTTGTAACCAAGGTCTCATGTAGCCTAAGCTGACCTATGTAGCCAAGAATGACTTTGAATTCCTGAGCCTCCTGCCTCTACCTCCCAAGTGCTTGTGTTACAAGTGTGTGTCACGAAGCCTGAGGATCAATCCCAGAGCTTCACCAGCTGAGCCTCATCCCTGCCCCAGGAGGTCATTTCACACTTAGTGTCTCTTATTTTCCCTGAGACACCCTGTGAAGTTAGTTACATTGCAGAGTCTCTGACCTCCTTATGGCAGTTAAATGTTAGCTTGACTGCACTGAAAAGCACCTGAGGGATTAGGGAAGCACACCCCTGGGAGTGTCTTGAGAGTCTCCAGACACTATTAGATCATAGGGACCCTGATGTAATCAAGGAGTTAATCACTTGATGGATCATAACATGGTGGCATTGTTAGGAGGTGGTGAAAGGTAGGAAGAGTTAGCATCTCGGTTAGGGTGTGTCCTTAGCGCCTGTATCTTGTCCTGGCTCTTTCCAGTATCCCCTTTGCTGTTTCCTGGCCACTGATGGAGTTGCTTCACCAAACCCTTCTGGCCATGATGGGCTGACACCTGAAACTTGAGCAAAATAATCTTACCATTATGCCAGCTATTCTGTCCCAGTGGTCCTTGCCTGACTACATTAGCTTGTGGCATGCACATTTAAACATAGGGATGAGGGACTCGTAAAGTTCTTGCCACACAAACAGCACTTGAATCCTGTCTCCAGCACCTGTGCAAAGTGTGTGTGGCAGCATTTTCCTGTGTTGTGACTATCCTCTGAGCCAAACAACTGCCATCTTGAGGCAGTCAAAAGGGCATCCCCACTGGAAAGGAGACCCTCACCTGAGTGCCCACCCATTCCCTACCCCCATTGTATACAGCTGTTCCTTAATTGCACATGACTCTGGAAGGGGCTAGAGTATATAGGCTGGGGGAGGACTAGAGGAGTGGAGCTTCATCTTTGTGCTATGGGAAAGCTCCCCTTGCTGGTTAGAGGCTTTCTGGGTGCAGTCTATTGGGGCAGGTGAGCACACACACCCTGAAAGGAACTGCTCACATATTCTCCATAAGAAAGCCCAATAAAGTTGTTGGTTCACCAGAGTAAACTTCAGCAGAATCGTGCCTATATTTGCTTGGGGGCCCTTCGGAGAGGGGATTGCCTGTGTCTCCCCGTGTGAAGGAATTTTAGCAATTTTTAGCTCATACATAATCCCAGTGCTGGGAAAGTGGAGACAGTCAGATCCCTGGGGCTTGCTGCCCGTTCAGTGTAGCCAAATGCTATGCTTTAAATTCAGTGAGAGATCTTGTCTTAGAAAACAAGGTGAATGACAATAGGTGGAGGACTAGATAGCTCAGAGCTTAAAAGCACTTTGCTACTGTTCCAGAAGACCCAAGTTCAGATCCTGGCATCCACAGCAGGCAGCTCACAATTGCCTGTGGCTCCAGCTCTAGGAGATCCAAAACCAGCTGCTGGCCTCCACAGATGGCACACACACATAAATAAACATTTTTTTAAAAAATAACGTGATCTTGAATGGTGATGCTTGCTTTTAATCACAGCATTGCTGCAGTGGCAGGTGGATCTTGAGTTTGGTCTACAGACCGAGTTCCAGGACAGCCAAAGCCACAGAGAGAGACCCTGTGAAAAAGGTGGAAAGCAATTAAGAAAGACACCCAGCATCAATATTTGGCCTTCACTGGATTACACACACAGTGGGTAATCCCAGCATTGGAGCAACTGAGACAGGCAGATCTGAACCTACCTTAATTGGCAAGCCCCAGGCCAATAAGAAACCCATGTGATGGGGGTCAGCCTTATATGTATGTTTATCTTATTAGTTGTTAAATAAAGCACTGTTCGGCCAATGATGCAGAAAGATAGGTGGGACTAGGAGTCAAGAAGGATTCTGGGAAATGTAGTAAAGTCTTGTGATCCAGGCAGGAAGTGAGATAGCAGGCAGACTCAGAATATAAGCAGGGACAAACAGGAAGTCACCCTGTTCCTCTTCCTCCTGCTATCTGCTCTGGAGCCGCCATGTGATTCCAGGAAGACAGGACGCATTTCGCCGGCGTCCTCCATAAGATAAGTCTTATGATTATGGTTGATAGTTAAGACTGAGCTAGCAGATAAGAAATCCTAGTCTTTGGCCAGCAGCATTGTACCTAATGTAAGTCTCTGTGTGTTATTTGGGGCCCTAACGCAGCGGGTGGAACTCAGGCGGCTTGGTGGAAAGACTTATCTTTACAATAAGTCTCTGTGTGTTACTTGGGACCTTAAGGTGGTGGCGGGCAGAACTCGGGCGACAGCGGAAGTCTCAAAAAAAATGCCCCCCCCCCAAAAAAAAGCCAGGATGGAGAGGCTGGAGAGATTGCTCAGTAGTTGAAGAGCATTTACTGCTCTTGCAGAGGGCCTGGGTTCGGTTTCAGCATCCACATGGTACTTTACAACTGTCTATAACTCCAGTTCCAGGAAACTTGACATCTTTCCTCTTACTCCGTAGACACCAGGCATGCATGTGGTGCACACACACACACACACACACACACACACACACACACACACGAGGCAAAACACTCATAAATCTAAAACACTTTTAAAGGGTGAACCGCTCTCCAGAAACAACAGCCCTGGTTGTCATCTGGCCCCCACAGGAGCACACGTGCCTGAGTTCCTTGTGCACCAATTGTATGGTGGAGAGGCAGCTCTGCAGGTGGAGCATTTACAGCTCTTGCTTTACCCACATCGAGAACCTTACAGCCTCCTGGAACTCCAGCTCCAGGTTGTCTGACACCCTCTCCTGGCCCTTTCCAGTGTCCACACATGCACATGAATAAAAATTACCCTTCATATGAGCTCCGTTAGAGTGCCAGCACCCCAGCCTGAAGGGGAAAGCAAGCCTTCAAGTCTAAGAAGAGCTTCATTAGAGGCAGAGCCGTCACTTACTCGACGTGGGGAAGGGAAAGCCCTTAATTCCCTTGGCTCCAAAGCATTAGGAAAACTGCATCATGGTGCTAGTACCCTTAAATTCCAGCCATTCCCTTGAGATTAAAGCACAAGCAAGGCTCTCTTATGACAGGCTTGGGGAGTGGGGCAGGATGGGGTTGGGGAACCCTCTGATAAACTTCCAACTGTAATCCAAGGCCCTCTGGAAAGTAGAGGGGGCAGGTTGCAGCTGCCAGGGTGAGGGACGGAACTCAGCTGAGACCTACAAGGTCACAGCATGCTCTTACCAACTCTCCCCAGGGGAGGTGACTGCAGAGGAGCCTGGGTGATCTCTGGGGGAGGAAGCAGCTAGAGGGTCTGTGATCCAGCAGTTTGCAATTCAAGTTTAAGATTATATTTTTTTAATTTATTTTTTACATTCCAATCCCAGTTCCCTCTCCCTTACTTTTTAAAAAATATTCTTTGATTCTGTTTCTTCTCAGTGAAAATTTAAATTAAAATGATATTACTTGCCGGGCATCGGAGGCGCATGCCTTTAATCCCAGCACTCCGGAGGCAGAGGCAGGCGGATCTCTGTGAGTTCGAGGCCAGCGTGGTCTCCAAAGCGAGTGCCAGGACAGCCCTCAAAGCTACACAGAGAAACCCTGTCTCAAAAAACCAAAAACAAAACAAAAAAAAAATGTTACTTAATTGTATAGGATGCATGCAATTACCTTAAAATAATTTTTAGGGACAAGACCACTGATTCAAATTTGATTTTTGCTACCCTGTATACTTGTCCTATTAAAGACAAAGTTTAAATATGACATGCTGACTTCTGACTGTGCCATGAGACCAACTTGGCATATAGATTCGGTTGTTTTGTTTCTAGGATTTGGTGGTTCTCGTCAGTTCATTTTGCTCATGTAAATCCCTTGAGCGGTTTTGTTATCAGAATGCTAGGATAGGACGCATCTGCCAGCACTAGCCTCATGTCATTTCACCCTTTGCTCATTTAATAGTGGCCTATGAAGCCGTTCCTGTCATTTTGGAATTTCTCCAATTTGTTGTTGTGATTGATTTCTAGACCTGAGATTGCAACTCAAAAGGCAAATACCTGACTTGTTTAGGCATGGCCCTTCCTCCATGGGGTTCCGCACCCCAGTGCATGGACAAGGTGCCCACCCCCCAAGAACAGTAGACTGGTATTGAACATGGATTTGGACCAATGATAGATGGGAAATTTAGTAGTTTGGCTTTGTATTTCTCTTGTATTTTGTTTTTGTTTTTTCTTCAAAGAGTTTACAAACTTCTTTGGATTAATATTAATCCTAATCCTCTTGCTTTTAAATTACATTTATTAAAATTTCATTTTTTACTTATTTATTTTGTTTTTCAAGACAGGGGTTTCTCTGTGTATCAATTTTGGCTGTCTTGGAACTCACTCTGTAAACCAGGCTGGTCTTGAACTGACTGCCTCTGCCTCCAGAGTGCTGGGACTAAAAGCATGCTCCACCACAGCCCAGCAATTGCAGGTTTGTTTGTTTGTTTGTTTGTTGTTTTGTTTTTTTGGTTTTTCGAGACAGGATTTTTCTGTGGCTTTGGAGCCTATCCTGGCACTCGCTCTGGAGACCAGGCTGGCCTCGTACTCACAGAGACCCGCTGCCTCTACCTCCGGAGTGCTGGGATTAAAGGCGTGCGCCACCAATGCCCGGAGCAGTTTTTATTCAGGTAAAATGCATGCAACACAAGACTCAACATTTTAGTCATCTTAGAGTATCCAACTCAGTGTCATTTAGTATGGTCATGTCTGCAGCCATCACCTCTACCACCCAAACTTTGATCATGGGGAAAGCCCTGCGCAGCACACCGTTCCTCCCGCTGAACGGCACTCCTTTACCAGAAAGTTGGAGAATGTTAGATGTTACCTGCATTTCGTTCCCATGTGCACCTTGTTGTTATTATTCTTAGGGTTATAATCATGTGTAGAAAGATTTTGTTCATTCTTCAGGTATAAAGGAATTCACACATGTTTTTCCTAATATTGCCTGAATTTTACCCTGGCCTTTGCTTGATACCCAGCCGTTGGTCTTGATACAGGGGTCACAGTGCAGATCTGCCAAAGTCCTCTGGCAGGAGAAGAGACTTTTCATCAGACTGAATTTTGTAGACATTGAAGTCTGACCCTGGGTTATCCACAGCCCTGGTCTCTGGCTTCTTCCAATTGTGCTGGAGGCTCAAGGTTGATTGGGGCAAGTAGGACAATCCTCCCTTTTCTCTTCCCTGGGGGTGGGAGAGGCTCCTGGCTGTGTGCTGGCTCATTGGCTCTTGGGTGTGCACTCTCCCTCTGCCCCCCTTTATGGATTCTATAATTAACTTGTTTTTATTAAGGTAGAAAACATCCTGTTTGAAAAGGAATACATCTGGTTTATGAGTGCCCACCTGGAGGGCTGGCCCATCCGTCAGTTGGTTCTCTGCTGACCTTCTGTCTATTCCCCTCTGTCTTGTGTCTTTAAGGTGTTTTTAGAGCTGGCCTCATACAGGCTTTCACAGCTCGTGTTCCATTTACATCTCCAGCTTTTATCTTTTTGCTGTTGGAATGTGTCGTGTCCCCAAACTAAATGTGCATACTGATCTCTGTGCCACTTTAAGCCCTATGCTTTTCTGAGTTCTTAGTGTTGAACATTTACTTTCTTATGTTGGAAATAAACCAAAGAATTTGGTCCAAGGACAGAAGGCTGGAAAGGCAGGACCACCCACACACCAGCATTGCCTTTTCTTTCCCTCCTTTCCTCCCCATTTCCATCCACCTGCTGCCCACCAGGCAGCAAATGACAAGACAGCACTGGGTAATGGCCACATACAAGGCTTCCACCCTGAGGAAGGCTTCACACAGAGGCCTCGAGGGTACCCTCTTGGGGCTGGAAACATGGGGTAGCGAAGGCAGGGAGGACATAAAGGAGGAAGGAGCCAGGAGAGCAGCGGGGCCTAGAGGTGGGTGGCAGGCACGAATGAGGTGAAGACAGGCTATGAGGGGCCTTAAGGACCCCTGACACTGCAAACTTGAGGATCCCTGGAATTCTTGCCTTATCAGGAAGCCAGACAGTGGGGGTGATATCTTGCTTGTGCAAATAAAGCCTGTCTAAAGGTCAGAGAATGGAGCTTGCCACTGGCTGACCATAGAGGTCTGGAGGTCTGTACAGACAGACAGGAAGTGAGGTAGCTGGGCGGAAACAAGATATAAGCAGGGAGAAACAGGAACGCCAACTCTTGCCTGAGGATTCAAAGAAACAAAGTCAGCCACAAGCTATAGATTTCAGGCAGTGGTGGCACACACCTTTAATCCCAGGACTCAGGATTAAGAGGTAGACAGATCTGTTAGTTCAAGGCTACACTGACTACATGAAATTGATCCAGTGCTAAGATAAACAGCTCACACAAAGATGATCTCAGCACTTGGGATCACACGCCTTTAATCTCAGCACTAGAGAGGTATAAAAGATAGGAGCAGGGTTTTCAGTGGTCAGTCTCAGCAGAGGCAGCAGCCTGAGGCTTGGTGGAGAGCGTGTGGATCAACCCTTTCAGCCTGAGGTAGAGGTGAGAACTAGTGACTTGGCTGCTTTGCTTTTCTGATCTTCAGTTTGAAGCTTGTCTTTTATTTATCATTCAACAGAGTACCCCACCATATGCATGGAACTCCATTTGGAAAGAGTACAGATCACCAGAACCTGGCCTTCCATGTATTTTGAGTATCTCTGTTGTCAAGTCACGCTCTGGATTAGCGCAGCGCTCTCTCAGGCAGCCATTAGCACCTGTAAACCTTGGCTGGAGAACCGACATCAGAACCCTTCCCTACTTCCTATATCTCTAACGGATACTGAAGTGGGTTACCTAAAGCAAACCGTTTACTGTCTCTTCGCCCTCCAGGGGGAATGTGAACCCCATGTGGCTACAGAGCTCCTTTCTACAGAACTTTCCTTGGCCTGACACACAGCCCACCCTAACACACACAACCTGGCAGTGGGGCAAGCTGCTAGGCTAGGTCAAGTCAAAGAAGGACAGGGCGTATTCATCCAGCACACACCTCCAGCACTACAGGTCTGACTGGGAGTCTGGAACACTCCCATGACCTGATTTAGATAGCAGGCATCAGGGAAAGGCCAGATGTGGGGAGCCAAGGGACTGTGTATTGTTTGACACAGGCATGGCCATGTCAGGAACCCAGTGCCTCAGACCCATGGGAGGGGAAAGCCTTCCTTTGGTCTGATTATGAATGTTGACAGTATGTGCGAGCCTGAGTGTGTATGAATGCTTGACAGTAAAAGCTAGTAACTGCAGCTTCCTCTTAGATGTCACCGTTTAAGACTGCACCTACAGACTAGCTTTAAACCCTTCCCCTGTGCTGTCCGAGACACATATGCTGAGGTTCCTGGTTGTCACAACTCCATCAGAGTGTGGACAGCCCACCTGACCCCAGCTTTTCTCTACATGTGGCCATGTGTTCAATCTTCACTCCCTCACAGGCCCTGGTCAGGTCAGGTCCAAAGCTGCTCAGGACATAGCAGCTAGAGGAGGGTGTTCTTCTAGGGCTGGGCTTCCCAAGTCTAAGTTCTTAGATGTCCCAGCCGGTGATGTTTAGCAGTGTCATGAGGACACACACACAGAAAGCAGAGTAGGGCCTCACACTGTGCTGGGTAAAACTTTATTGGGGTCCAACTTGTGCAGATCACCTCATCCACAGGATCTCTTGTTCATTGGTCAGGTGAACTACCTACACCCCTGATCCCTGCCACAAAGGGCCCACTGTGGGTTAGGGACACCATCTTCATCTAGAAACAGCCAAAGGAGCAGCACAGGGACCTTCTGTTCGGCCTTTAGGGACAGACAGTAAGCATCCCTGGCTCCTCTTGCATTAGCCAGTCATCTTCAGGCCAGATGTACAAGACCTGCTTCCCACAAGGACTGAGGCCAGCTCGTGTCCTGGGAAGGACCCTTCCTGGGGTGGGGGCCTGGAGCATCAAGTGAAAGTTCTCTGGCCCCTTTCCCCAGGGCTATGCACTGACCCTGACTTTCTGGCAGGAGTTTCAAGAGAAGAGCTACAGCAGACCCCAAAGCCAGCTCCAGACTCTGGGACAGGCTTCTCCACTCAGCCCTTCCAGAGGTCAGGGTCCACAAGGGAATGGGGTTTGGGATAGGGCCCCAGGGGCTGGATGCTCCCAACTTGAGTAAAGGAAGTGCTTTGCAAGTGTTATAGGCCCCTTGGGTTGGGCCCAGGAGCCCCACAAGTGGCCCCCGCTGTGGGGAGCAGCTCATCTCTCTGGCAACAAGAGGAAGAACACAGCCTTCAGGAAGCGGCCAAAACTGCAGAGTGTGGCCACGAGCCAGTGGGAGCGGAAGCCAGGGTCTGTGCTGACCACACACTTGAGGACGTCGGTCTGGAAGAAAAAAGGGATAGTTAGCAAAGCCAGGCAATCCAAGGTCCCTATTATCTTGCTCTAGAAAAAATGCCCTATCAAATCACTAAGGGACCATGCAAAGCTGTTTGAGAAAGGAGGCTGCAGCCCATCTGGACCAAAACTTAAGCAGGATACCTGAGAGTTAGATGGGGAAAGGTCTCAAGACAGACATCTTTGCCTACCCATTTCATAGGTGAAAACAGGCTTCTGGATAGAGTCCAGCCTCCATGCAGGACCCAAAAGCATCTTTGGTTTGGCAAACCATGTAGGCAGTCAGACACGGAGATAAGGAGGGTCCAACCCTGACACCCATCCCTCTAGGTCTTGCTTCTTGAGATGCAGAAAAGTGGGGCTCCCAAGAGGGAAGTTAAGGTGCTCTGGACAGTACTGAAACCTCTCTATGAGGGGGGAGCTTGAAAAACTACCTGTTGGCCTCTTTCTGCCAGGCACCTTCTGGGAGCAGAGGAGAGATAAGGAGTTCAGGGTCGGCATGTCAGTGCAGACACAGAAGAGCAAGTACCTGCCCGCATCTCAGAGCAGCCCTGCATCCTGAAGCCCTCGCCTGCTGCCCCCACCTTCCGTCCCACTCCACCCTTCAGTGATTACAACACCCCACCCCTGCCAACACCCCACCCCACACCCCTGCTGATGCTCAGGCTCACCCATCCGCCACGCCTCCGAAGCCAGGTCGCCAGGGTCTTGCGCACAAATTCCCCCAGGCAGTCAACCAGGGCATGAACCATGGCAGGCTGAGCCTGCCGAACACAGTCCACTGCTAGCCCAGCAGCCACCGAGTACAGGGACACCACCTTGCCCCATGTGATGCCTAGAGGGAGACAGTTGCTGATCAGACCCAGACTGGCGTCCAGCCCTTAGGGTACCATGAAGAGTTGAGCTTCTCCCAGCTACTCTCCTGCCTGCCATTAGCTGATGACCAGTAATGACAATTGGGCCAGGACCCTCCCTGCAGGCTACCACCACAATAGGGCACTGGGCCGGATGGACTAGTGTGGTTGGGCCATCATCCCCAGCAAGTCACGTCTCCCTCTCGGGCTATCCTCATGTAGACAGAGGGTCCCAGCCTCCAGTGCATACCTGCTGGAGCCTAGGATGAGACCAGCCTAACCCACATCTGAGAGAGGTGTCCACGGGAGAGCAGTGTAACAACACACTGGGGCTGGACTGAATCACAACAGAGCAAGGAAATCGTCAGACAACTTCAAGGGTGTGTCCAACTGTTTTGTCTGCTACTCTGAACCTTGATACCAGGGCAGTGGGTCAGAGTCTATCTCATACCTGCTTTATAAAAAAGCCATGGCCCACAGGAAGATTCTTCCCCACACGGTCCTCAACCCCTTGGGCCTCCGTATGGATGTGCAGGCATTTGTGTCCATAGAAATGCAAAACACAGGCACACATGGAAGTGGGAAATACAGACGTGCATATTCTATCACCAATACTAAACAAAAAAGAGTCAGGTCCTGGCATGACAGCAGTGTTTCCGTGGCAGAGGCAGGAGAGTCAGAAAGGAGTTCAGTCCAGGCCAGCCTGGGCTACCTAAGTTCTTATCTCCAAAGCGGGAGCTGGAGATAGATACAGCTCAGTAGTTAAAGAGCCCACAGAGAAACCCTGTATCGAAAAACCAAAACAAAAAACAAACAAACAAAACAAACAAAGAAAAAAAGAGCCCATACTACACTTCCAGATGACAAAGTTCAATTCCCAAGACCTACAATAAGCAGCTCACAGCTGCCTGCGTCCCCAGCTTCAGGGACACGATGCCTCTGACCTCCGAGTCAGACCTGAACACACACGCACATATCCACACACAGGTACAAACACATAACATAATTAAAAATAAAATAAATACTTTAATATATACTTTATATTAAAGTAGTGAACACTTATAAGCATTAAAATTATATATTATATATTCAAATATGTAGATTATATATAATATATATTATAATGTATATATAATTTACTATTATATAATATAATTTATTATTATAAACTTATATTAAAATATAATAATATTAAAAATAAAATAAACCAGGCATAGTAGTATATGCCTTTAATCCCAGCAGTTAGGAGGCAGAGGCAGTCGGATCTCTGAGTTTAAGGCCAGCCTGGTCTACAGAGCAAATTCCAGGACAGCCAGGGCTACACAGAGAAACCCTGTCTCAAAAAAACCAAAATAAATAAATTAGTTAATTAATTAAAATAAATCTTAAAAAGAGGGGGTTGGTGTGGTCGTGTACCCCTGTAATCTCAACATCAGGAAGCTGACACAAGAGGATCTTGAGATTGAGGGAGCCAAAAAAAGTACAAATAACACATGAAACATTTGAAAAAATAAAACTATTTCCCCTTGTTAACAGCATAAGAGATAAATTATAGCAAGATGTGGTTGTGGTCTACTATGTTAAGCTTCAGGGGCTGGAGAGACAGTAAAGTGTTTAGTTTTCCCTTTTGGCTGTTGTGAATGGTACCGTGGTGAACATCTGTAAGCTGGCATGTGGATGCCGCAGGGATGATGGAGACAGTAGCATCCTTAAGGCTTACTGGCTGGCCAGCCTAATAATCAGTGACCTCCAGGTTCCACGAGAAACCATCTCAAAAAATAATTGGTAGAAGATACTCATTAACCTCTGACCTACACACACACGTGAAGATGAGATAAGGGTTCAGGTAACTGCTGTTCTCAGCTTTGCTGAGGAAGGCAGTTGGAGAGAGCATTTGACAAGACCTGAAAAGCACACACAGCTAGCCACAGGCCCTTAGATGCTAACCTAAGAAGCAGACCATGAAATTCCCCTCAACCCACCCTCACACAGCACTCAGAATAGCCTCTGACCAGTGCTTGCGTCAGCACACAGATGCTCACCACAGCACCATGCACAACAGCCAAAAGGGAAAACTAAATGCTCGCTAGCAAACTGCTGGGATCCTACAACGGCGCTATTATACAGCCAATAACCAGAATGAAGTTCTGATGAATGCCACAACATGGCAAGGGAAAGGAACCAAACACAAAAGGGCACAAATATTGTGTCAATCTGCCTATAGAAAACAGGCATACCCACAGAGCCAAAAAAGTGATTCACAGGGACTGGGGGTGAGGCAAGGCAAGGGACAGGGTGTCACTGCTGATAGGCAGTGTGTCCTTAGGATCTGGACAAACAGCATTCTGAATGTGCTAAATGCCACCAAATCTGGCATTTAATGTGGCTAAATGTACAGTATACGAATGTTGCCTCAATAAAAAGGAATGGGGTAGGGAAAAAAATCTACCACCCCCCACCCCCGGAAATCAGACAGTGCCACAAGTCTGCTTCTAACTCTCCCATAGGAGTGACTTGCTGTCTCTTTCAAAATAAACCCAAGAGTCTGGGGAGATGGCTCAGAACTGTTCTTCTAGAGGTCCTGAGTTCAATCCCAGCAACAACATGGTGGCTCACAACTATATATAATGAGGTCTGATGCCCTCTTCTGGTGTGTAAACATGCATGCAGACAGAACACTGTATACATAATAAATAAATCTTAAAAATATATATAGTCCGAGATCCCAGCTGAGCTCCACTCTGGCATCAGTGGCACCCTCGTCACTGCCTGGACGCAGCCCTGGTTCTCTGCCTCCTGAGAATCCCAGGCCAGAAGGTTCCTGTCCAGGGCCAGTCAGCGGTAACAGAGCCTTGTGACCAGGCCCTGATGTCAGTCACAGTTTCTCAAGGGTGCTCTGCTGTTAGATGTGCCCTTGACATGTCACCCACTGAGTGCCCCAGTCCATCAAAAGAACTGAGGAGCCTGATGTCCTGTTAAACAGTGTGCGCCCTGGGGTGACGACATTCCCAGCAGAAGTAGCTGGGGAAGATAGTGTCCAGGGCTGCACCTTGGGGAGCTTCTGCTTCCCTTGGGCTCTCATATAACCACAATCTAATTCTGGAACATTTATTTAAAGGTTTTTATTTTCTTTTGGCAGGTTTTTGTTTTTTGTTTTTTGTTTTTTTGAGACAAGGTCTCTCCTCTGGCTGTCCTGGAACTTGCACTGTAGACCAGGCTGGCCTCAAACACAAGAGACACACCTGCCTCTGCCTCTAGAGACCTAGAATTAAAGTCACACACAACCATACCCAGACTGATTTATTTGTTTTTAATGTGTGTGGGTGTTTTGTCTGCGTGTATGTCTGTGTATCACATACATGCTATGCCCAAGGAGACTGGAAGAGAGCCCAGATAGCCTAGAACTTGAACATAGTCTGCACATTTCTCACAAATGGAATTTGTGTCTGGCACACTTCAGGTTCATCTGAACTGCACTCCTTTTCATGGCTAACCAATATTTCACAGCCACTTGTCAATTAATGGGTAGTCACTACTTTTGCTTCTGGGAACACACACGGGCAAGCTTCTCTGTAGGTATGTGTTTTATTTCTGTTAGGTATATATCTAGTAGTAGATTTGCTGGGTCATATGGAAACACCAGGCTTCACCATTGGAGGACCTGCCAGGCTGTTTTCCAAAGTGGCCGTACTTCACATGTTATCCACCAGCTCTAGGTAAAGGATGTGAGTTCCCCACACCCTCATCAACACTGTGGTGGTTTGGCCATCCTAGTAAGAATGAAGCCATTTCTGGTGATGCTGACCATCTCATGTGTCTGTCTGTCATGTCTGCTGGTGCTTTGTGGCCTCCAGTGAGAGATGGCCACCCTGCATTCCCATGGCCTCTCTTCCCCCACCTTCTCCCCGAAGCCTGGAGACAGACACTCAAGCAGGCACCCATAGCTGGCGTCAGCTGGAAAGGGCTCTGTCTCCCACACAGGATCTCTCTGGGCTGCCTCCGTGCTATGCTCAGGGTGGGCTTGTAGGAGGCTTGTAGGTGGACAGGGGATGAGGTTACTCTGAGCTCTCCCCAATTCACACTCTCTACCACCCAAGGCCCCAGCCCCTTTCTCCTGATCACACCTATCACTAACGGAGGCCCAGGCTCTCCTGGGATCACTGAAGCCATGGGGCAGACTAGCTGTGCAGCCTCAGAAATGCCTTATAAATCCAGCCGTCCCTGGCTCGTAAAGCAGCCTGCTTGACAGCCTGGAGACAGACGCCCAGGCAGCCACCCTTGGCTGGCGTCCGCGGCCAAGCTCCAGAGCGGGCAAGGGTGGCCCTCCACCCAAAAAACGCCAGGCTGCTGGCTTCCCTTCCTGAGCCCTACTCACTGCCGCTCCCACCAGGTGACCTTCAAGAAAGGAACTGGGGCTTGCCCATGAACTGCCAGCAGTTTCTCCCACCCCCATGCCACAGCCTTCCCCACACCTCTCCCACTCCACCACCCACACACTCACTCCCTTCCCACAGCGGTGCCCCTGGCCCCGAGTTTTCAGTACAGAAGCCACACTGGCTGACCCTGGCCTGTCATGTGATGCTCCTGAAGCAGGCCTGGGCCTCCCCACTCCTAGGCACATGTGTCTGGCATGCGGGACACACGTGGACAACAAGGTGTCTAACACGGTTCTAAAGAAAGAGCACAGGACAGGAGGGTTTGGGGAGATGAGTCCTGCAGTCTCCTGGAAACCTGGAGGGTACAAAAGGCAAGCAGCAATCATGGAACTTGAGGCAAACAGGGAAGGGGCTTCAGGAGCTAAGAGGTGGCCTTGCCTATCAGTCGCTTCTGGAGCAGAGATGGAAGGCCCTGGGAAAGCCCCAGATGAGTGTGGCAGTCATCCAGACAAGCGTGTTCCTAATCTCCTAAAGTGCCCCATGAGCAGGCACACTCATAGACTCTTCGAGACGCTCTTTTTCTTTCTTCCCGGAGACAGGGTTTCTCTGTGTAGCCCTGGCTGTCCTGGAACTCACTCTGTAGACCAGGCTGGCCTTGAACTCACAGAGATCCTCCTGCCTCTGCCTCTCAAGTGCTGGGATTAAAGGTGTATGCCACCATCCCCTGACAGGGATGCTCATTTTTTGAAATGTCCCATGTGGAGCTAACTGTGGAGATTTAAGTACCATGGTCACCAAAAGCCCAGGATATAATGTTGTCGTCCTGCAGAGAGCGGCTGCCCTGCAGGGCCCCACCACCCCAGCCGATGCTGGACCACTATCAAATGCCACACAGGTCTGTGTCAACAGCCTTCAGGATGACCAGCAACAGTAATCACCAAGTAATCTCGATACCATGCAACCATGTCTATTATTAAATTCCACCCCTTACCTCAACACTATCGTAATAACTTAGACATATATTAACTCCTAACTCTATTAAAATACACACCACCGAAACTCCCAACACCACCCAACTAGACCCCCGAGTTTCAGGGTAGCAGTTATATACTCAGCGGGATGGCTCAGAAGGTCAAGCCACCTATAGCCAAGCCCGAGACTTGAATTCAACCTCACGATGAAAGGAGAGCCAACTCCCAAAAGTTGTCCTCTGACCTTTACTTAGCCCCGTGGGTCAGTGTGTAAGTATCCACACATACATGTGCACACATGCACACCAAGTAAAAACGTATTAAAAAACAGCTGGGTGTGGTGGCGCACACTTTTAATCCCAGCACTCAGGAGGCAGAGGTAGGGGGATCTCTGAGTTTGAGGCCAGCCTGGTCTACAGAGCTCCAGGATCTCAAGGGCTACACAAGGAAACTCTGTGTCAAAAAAAAAAAAAAAAAAAAAAAAAAGGCCAGCAGCACCTTGAACTGCTTTCTGGGCTAGCTCTTCTCTGGGCTGGGCTGTTAGTTCAGAACAGCCCCAAGTGCCAGGAGGCTGGTAGGATGGCTGTGTCAGAGGACCCCCACAAATTTTCTGTCCCTCCCTGTAAGCCTGCCCGATGTGCAGATGTTGAGCCCCGTCCCAGAGGTGCCTTGAGTAAACGGACCAGACCTACCTGCTGAGAAGATGTGGCCTGCCACAGCCAGGAAGGCGTCAGTCACCACAGGCTCAGACTGCAGGGAAATGTGCAGCTGCCGGGCCACATTACGGTACACGCTGGGACGGATCTGCTCCAGCTCGTCCCCTGCGTGGACACAGAGGTTCAGGTCCTCCCACACCGTGGCACCGTGGCTAGTACTGACCAAGACTCAGTCCTGCTCTCCATGCACCTGACCTCACTTGACCTCCAAGCTCACAGCTTCCCCTCCACTGGGCCCTGGCTCCGCACGCCTTCACCTGTCTCACTTTATTTGACTCTAGCAACCTTGGCCCCATGAACAAAGAGACTAGGGAGGCTGTGGAACCTCCAGCCCCCTAAGGCAAGCTGGCTGGGCCAGTGGGGCAGGAATCCTGCGGCGGTTCATGGGCAGTGCCTGCTCAGTCAGTGACTCACAGCAGGCAGGCAGATGAGCAAGGAGGCACCAGGCAGGCAGGCAGGCAGTACCCAATGTGGAGAGGGGCATGGCTGGAAGACTACATATATGGAGCCACCCCCTGCTGCCTCACAGAATTATCCTGGCTGAGGCACCAGCATCCCTGGTACCGGCTCAGTCAACTGACTGAGGCTTAGCCAAGGTCCTGGGACAATGGTACCACCCACATGCCACCATGGGCTCCTGGTGCCAAATGGGTGTGTTTTTATACGGTGCTATATCAGCGCAGCTATAGCTGGGCCAAGGAGGATGCCTGCCACAGTCCCACCTACCCCCTGGGCTGCAGTGCCCTTGGCAGCATCATGCATGCACAGGGGGAGATGGTGCCGGGAATTCCACACAGCCTCTGATTGGGTGTCCCTGGCCCAGCTCTTCCCCAGCCAAAGCAAATAGGGAAATGCTGCTGCTGCCTGGCCTGTCCCAGAGATAAGGGCGCCCACGTCATCCCTGAGGCCAGCTGTGCTCTATCTAATTAATTAAGATCTGGAACCAGAGCAGAATCAGGAGGAGGGCCAGGGGATGAAGAGATGGCATGGAAATTCCCAAGGCTGGCCTGGATGTTGCCAAGGATAAAACTCTGGGGGCCTCTGGAGACTGACCCCAGTAGACTGCTCAGAGACATAAGCTGGACTGCTTCCTGTTTGTGGCTGGGGTCATGCTGGGGGGCAGGGAGCTATCACAGAACTTAGAAAAATTCACCCTGAACAAATGTAACCTGAACAAGAACACATTGGGATCCAAGGTCTCTCCCTCCAGGAACCCCCAAGCTGTCTGGAAGGGTCTGAACCCCGGAGTGTAGGAACAATAGGGCTGAGTGATGGAGAAGTCTTCAAGTTACTTGGACTCAGCGGCCTGCAGTTGAGTACAGGCTTTGCACCTGCTGTTAGGACAAAGGGGACCCAGGCAGGGGACAAACATGCCAGGCAGACAGAGCTTAAGTGAGTAGTTTTATTAGAAAGGGGAGGGAAGGGGGAGGGAAGAGAAAAGAGACACAGAGACAGGGAGAGGGGACAGAAGAGAAGAGGGAGACAGGGAAAGTCCTGTCTGCCCCAGGGGAACAGCGGGAAAGAGAGGAGCAGGAAAGAGAGGGAAAGAAAGAGCGGAAAGAGCTTAAGTGGGTGGAAGTCTTTCTTTTAAAGGGGTCCTTTGCACCCGGGCAGACCAGGGTACTGCCTGAGTGCATTCTGCCAGGTGACAAGGGCAGGCCAGCATAATGCCTGAATCCGTACACAATGCCTGAATCTTTCCACAAGCCAGTCCTCAAGCCTCTCAGGACCCACCAAAAGCACTGAGAAGACAGAAGTTGAGTGGGTCAGACCCAAGGCAAGACTTCCTCCCCACCACCGCAGTGTCCTAGGGAATCTTGGGAGGCCAACATGACTTTTCCAGAGACAGCCACTGGTCCCCTCCAAACCCCTTCACTCACCCTTTCCACACACCCAGAGATAGCACCCCTCCGTCCATGCACAGCCCTCCTGGGACTCTGCCTGTCTCACTCTGGGCAGGCCAGATCTACAGAGCCCTTTTCCTCGAGGCCATTGCAGTACCAAAGGTGCAGGGCCTATTTAAAGAGCAGGAGTGCATACCTCATCTCCCAGGGAGCCAGGACTTAGAGGGCTCCCTCCAAGCAGGGGAGTGAGTGCACACCAGCTCTCCCTGACACCCACTCACCGATGTATTTGATCTCTGCTGTTTAGCTCCCATTCCCTTACACAGCCCCAGGCCTCAGGCTGGCTGTGGTGAGGTGAACTGTCCAGTATCAACGTTTGCCTATCCTTTCCTCTCGAATGTCCAGGCCTTAGAGGCGCTAAGGGGAGCCACTGAGCTATGTGTGATCCCTAAAACAGTGTCCCAGATGTCCTTCAAGAAGGCCCTGGGGGGCCTTCCCACCAAGGGAAACAGCAGTGGGTGTGGGATTCCAGCCAATAACGGAAAGGCCTGTTTTCCAAAACAAACATTGAGACACGTGGTCCCACAAAGGATTTTTTAGTCTAGCACAGTACAAGGGTCACAATCAAGTTTAGCTGCTCAACTATTACTCTTCCAGAGCTTTCTGTGGCTTATGACAAGAATGTCTGTGATCTGGGCTAAGCAGACATGGGGGGTTAGGGGTGGGGGACCTGGCAAAGGAGCCAGCAAGCAGGCAAACCTGGGGGAGAACAGAGGAACACCAACCTGGGTGGCCTATCCTGCACCCTCACCATTCCAGACAGATTTGGGCTCCCACGCACGCCTCCTCTTTACCCCAGAGGGAGGGTGAGGCGCAGCTGCAGAGGACATGTCTGGAGAAGGAAATGTCGGTGCAAAACAGCTGTACCCGGTACCCCGAAACACAGCGGGCAGGCCCATCAACCAGCCATTGGGGGGGGGGAGCGTTTTCTGGGATCCTAGCTGCTGGTGCTCCACACTCACCCAAACGCAGCAGCACGGTGCACACCTCCGCTAGGCGTCCTCCAGGGGCAGGCGAAGTTCGCTCTGGTGCGCTCCAGGAGAGGCCGGCGCGCAAAAGCCGCGCGTGCACGTACTCCCGGCCTAGTGCCTTGGCCTGGGCCACCAGCTCCTTGTCTGTGGGCGAGCGATCAAAGGCGTCCATGATCTCCGCAGCAAAGACAGAAGAGCGCCGCAGCACCTCCATGGCCGAAGCGCAGGCGAGAGGAACCACACCTACGACAGACAAAGCACAGCCGGACGGCCTCCAGCCAAGTGGGGAAGGGACGCCCACCGCGCCCGGAGACCTGGAGGCGCGGCGCGAGGCACAGCGGTCCCCACCGCGTGCGCCCGGGTCCAGCGCCGATCCAGAGCTCACAGAGGGGCTGGGAGCCGCCCTCAAGAGGGCCGGTTGCTGACAGCCTCTCGCATGTGCACCCCAAGCCCTTTAAAATACAGTGTCGCCTTCTTTCAGGTTCTGAATTAAATCACGCAGTTCCCGGCGGTGGTCAAGGGTTGAAAGCACCGCGGGGAAATGGCGATGGGTTCTGTGGTCACAGATCCTGGGCTCGAGGACCAGTTTGGGGGCGACGAAGGATGAAGGGCAGCCTGCTGCGACCAGGCGACAAAAAGGACCCTGCGGGCTCCTCCCGGCCGGGAAATCAACTCCCAAGGAAGGCTCCAAGCGGCGCGGCGATTCCTGGGCTCCGAGGCCACGTACCTGCCTACCTCCCGGAGCGAGTGTTTGTCCCCGGTGTCGCCGTTCCCATGGCGCTACATCCAGGGAGCAGACGCCACGCCCGCCCCACTCACCTCTCTGGCCGCATGGCTCGCGGGGCGGCTGTGGAGTTGTGGTTTCAGGACCCGCTCACCGCTGTCTCCGCCGGTCTAGATCCTTCCATTCAAACCCGCGGGCGAGCGCCCCGCCCCAGCGCCCGCCCCGTCCACGCCCGAGCCGAAGCACAGGCTCTGCCGGTCTTCCCGCGCTCGCAGAAGTCCTGGTCTGTAGGGTGCGGGAGGCGTACCGCAGGCTCCCCGCAGGCGAATAGCCAAGCCTAGGGCTTCGCCTTCTAAGGAAACGGCAACCCCCGGGGGTGGAGCCGCAGCCCAGCTCTGCCCAGCGCCTCCCCGGCTTAAGGAAGGCCAACACAAGTTCTCGGGATGCGCCCGGGAACGCAGCCAGGCTGGAGCTGTCCCGACAGGCAGCGCGAAGAACATCCAGCCCTGACACCAACCCACTGGGGCACACCGAGTTCCATTTTAGAATTGGCTGACTTAGACGCTTTAGTGCCTTGCAGAGGTTCCTTATAGATTCTAGATTCTTGCAGGTCTAGGGGGATCCGGTGCCCTCTTCTGACCCCCGAGGGCATCACGCAAGCGTGTGGTGCACAGACATTCATGCAGGCAAACATTCATACACAAAACAAAATTAGAAATAAATACATCTTTAAAAATAGATTCTGGATTCTTGGCTTAATAGAGTGTGGTGGAGACTTGGATTTGTGCTTGGTTGAAGGGTTGAAGATGCTGCAAACACCCACTCCCGCTCTAGTCTGGCTTTGCTTCTAATGAGCTGGAGTATTTATATCAAGTCCGATATATAATTTTTGGTAGTTGGTTATCTCTCATTAGGGTATTTTCCTTGGAGAGAAAAAAAGAGAGAGGGAGAGAGAGACAGGCAGAGAGAGAGGCTGGTCTGGAACTGTGTTGACCAGCTGCTCCAGCTTGCAGTGATCGTCCTGACTGCCTCCGGAGTCTTGGACCACAGGGGCCATGACCACGCTCAGCTTCTCTTACCTATTTCTTTCAGAAGTTTCGTTATTTTAGGATTCATATTTAGGCTTATGATGGATCACAGACATCATTGTGAACAGTATGGGACTGAGTCAGAGCTCCTTTTTTTCCCGTGTGGATTTCCTGGAAAGTCGGTATCATCTACTAGACTGTTTTTCTCCATCTTCTGACCCACTGCACAATCCCAGTAACAGGATTTGCTAACAACCTGATTCACCTGAGTGCAACATTCCACCTAGAGCTATAAAATACATATTCTACACACACACACACACACACACACACACACACTCAAAATAGAACATCTGGAACCATAAGCAAGTGTCAGCACATGTCACAGAATTGAAATCATACACTGATTATTCTCTAAAGCTTCATTACAGAAAAACCAATGGAAGTCTACAAATGTTTGGACTGAAACACCACACTTATAATGAGGCAGTAAATAATAATCACAATGGAATTGTTTTCAAGATTTATTTATGTGTTTTATGTAAATGGGTGTTGTATCTTTATGTACATCAGCACCCCCAAGAAGAGGGCATTGGATGGCTGGGAGCCAGCGTGTGGGTTCTAGGAGTTGAACTCAGGACCCCTGGAAGAGCAGCCAGTGCTCTTCACCGCTGAACCATCTCTCCAGCCCCACCCCCAATGGAAATCCTCTCAAGTTAACAAAGGTAAAAACAGTATACATCAAACCTGTGAGATGCTCCTAAAGCACGGCTTAGGGAAAACTTCTAGCCTTAGAAAATGGGCTGAAAGTTAATGCTTCAAGATCTACCTTAAGAAGCATGAAAACCCCAGAGAAGCTAGAATGCTCTTCCAGAAACAGATGGAAGCAGATGCAGAAATCCACAACTAACCAATGGGCCAAGCTCCTGGAGTACAGTCAAAGTGAGGGAGGAGCCATAATATGAACAAAGGGGTCAAGACCATGATGGGGAAACCCACAGGATCAGCTGACCCACGCTAGTGAGAGATCACTGACTCAGGTCTGACAAACGGGGAACCTCATAAGACCAAACTAGACTCCCTTAATATAGGTGACAACAGTGTGACTGAGAACAATTTATGAGGCCACTGGCAGTGGGTCCAAGATCTAACTCTAATGCACAAACTGACTTAGTGGAGCCCATTCTATATGGAGAGATACCTTGCCCAACCTAAACACGGGGAAGGGGGGGATGGAGAGGTGCCTTGGTCCTGCCTCAACGAGATGATGGGGCAGACTTAGTAGACTTCCTAAGAGAGGCCTCACCCTCTCCAAGGAGCAGATGGGAGGAAGTGGGAGCAGAGGAGGGAGGGGGAACTGGGATTGGAATGTAAAAATAAATTAATAAAAAAAGAAGCAAGAAAAAGAATTATAAACCCAAATATAAAATGAAATCATTTGAGAGAGTGAGGGGAGAGAGAGAGAGAGAGAGAGAGAGAGAGAGAGAGAGAGCACTGAGCAGGTGTGATGGCTCAGAACTCCTGGTAGGCTCAGGAGTTTCAGGAATTCAAAGTCATGCTCATCTACATAGCAAATGTGAGACCATAAGGCTGTTGTGGAATATTATTTTAACTAGGCAAAGATGTGTTATATTTGTTTTTACTACAGAAGATTACTTGAACTGTGTAAAGGTGTGTTACTTTTGTGTGTGCCGCATTTGTTTAATTATGTAAGGAGAAAGAAAGGAAGATGCCCAGGGACAGCCAGTAGACAAAAAAAAAAAAAAAAAAAAAAAAAAAAAAAAAAAAAAAAAGGCAAAAGCTCCGAAGCAAAAGGTAGATAAAGAGAAACAGGTTAAGTTAAAAGAGCTAGCCAGAGATGAACCTAAGCTAGCTCAAGCATTCAAAACTAATAGGCTGAGCAGTGGTGGCTCATGCCTTTGATCCCAGTACTCTGGAGGCAGAGGCAGGCAAGACCCCTGGGGCATGCAGGACACCAGCCTGGCTCAAGTTTCACTAAGAGGTCCTGTTTTATGGAATAAGGTAGAGATTGTTAGGGCTAGAAGGGGCCCTGTAGGTGTCCAGGCAGGGAAACAAACTGTGAAGAGGTGAGAATAAAGACCCAGGTCAAGTTGATTTCATCAACCTGGATCAAACTTGGGGTGGTCTGATCTTAGGCAATTTATTCTCAACATTTTTTTTTTTAGTTTTGTTGTTGTTGTTTTGTTTTTGGGTTGTTTTGTTTTGTTTTGTTGTTTTTTTTGTTTTGTTTTGTTTTTGAGACAGGGTTTCTCTGTGTAGCCCCGGCTGTCCTGGAACTCACAAAAATCCGCCTGCCTCCCGAGTGCTGGGATTAAAGGCATGCACCATCCCACCACCCCATCCTGCCTATTCCCAACAAATTTAACCACAGTATAATTTGGAAAAAAACAGTTTCCTGTGTGATACAATCCTTGATACACAAGGAAACATAATTACTTTGAGCTCAACTCACAGTACAGTGCCCTTTCTTTTGACAAGATGAGTTCTAGAGATAGGCTACCTGTACTAGCTTAAGGGCCTGGGGAAGGCTCTGGCATAGTCTTGGTCATACAGACAGCACCAAGGTCATCTGAGCGATTAGCCACCTCTGTTCGTGATTATGGGAGCTTGGGGAATTCCTGGCTGTAAGGATCAGTTAGATCAACAGCCATCTCCAGTCTAGGTTGTAGGAGCTTGATATGCCCTGGCCTAACAGATAACATAGACCACAGATAATTAATAGCCACCAGGCTATTAATCAGTTCCAATTCTCAGCTTTCTGGGTGGAAGAACAGGTTTTTCTTCTTTCCCATGGAAAGACAATCCTGCCTGCTTAACATTCCTGTTTCTCTGGAGATCTGTGGGCACCAGGACATTTCTTGCTGTTCTCCCAACAAGAGAAGGACACTGGAAGTCTTCCTCTGGCTCCTCCTGAAAACTCAGGTAAGCAAGAATACACAAACACACACACACACACTTATGCTCAGTCTACATGTATCCCTGCAAGCCAGAAGAGGGTAGCAGATCTCATTACAGATGGTTGTGAGCCACCATGTGGTTGCTGGGAATTGAACTCAGGACTTCTGGAAGAGCAGCCAGTGCTCTTAACTGCTGGGCCATCTGTCCAACCCCATAATGTTTAATCTTAAAAAATAAAGAAGAAAATAGTATATACAAGTTCACAGTAATTAAAATTTTTTAAAGGAAACACAGTTTACCAAAACTGATTCTGGAAAAAAAGGAAATCCAACATCAATTAAATATATTTAGTTTGTAAGAGTATTCCCATACTATTTTGGTTATTTTCCTACTATTGTGAAGAGACACCATGACCAAGGCAACCTCGAAAAAGAGGCATTTAATTGGGGCTTTGCCTATAGTTTCAAAGGGTGTGTCCATGATCACCAGGTGGGTGTTAGATTTTTGCTTTAATTAGAAATGAAGAAGAGGCGCAAGATGAGA